TCCAGGTGGCCATCAGTTGGACTCAGTCCAGAGCTCGCGTCTGCCTCAAGTTGGACCAGGCGTCTGCAGCGTTTCCCCCAAGAAGCTGGGTGCTGATTGGGGTTGCCGCCACCCCATTTGCAGCTGGCTCCAAACGGAAACCGGGGAACCCCTTCTGAAACTCCCTCAGCTTGCAGGACAAACACGTAGGGAGCCGACAACCTGCACAGAAATGCCTCGAAGACAGCATGGCATGCTGCCAACGTGCCTGTAATTAGCAACCACCGCGCTAAAAAAATCTTAGCTGAATGGCAATATAGCTAGCTTTACACACCTACGCAGCAACGCGCAACAGCACATTGGGGAGAGCGTCCATTGGGCTTTTGCCACTCCAGGGGTCATCATCCAACATGTTCAGGTGCCCCCCAGGTTATTTTGAGTATGGTAAGGCTTTTGGAGGGCCTGCCCGGGTCTCTGAACGGAACATTCCCTGGCAATTGTCATTAGGCAAACTGAGCGCTGAATTCGAGAGCCAGCCGCTGTGAACTTGTACATCTTCGCCTGGTCGAGGTACTTGTCCTTGGGCGCTATACGGTTTTAAGGCTTTAGGGAGCCAAGTTTGCTGCATCTATTCGTGTGGCTCCAGGATTGGCCATGGGTCAAAATCCAAATCGTACCGCCGGTGAACATCCCAATCCCTACTAAAATAGACTAAAATGGGTGGTGCACCTACCCCAAAATGGTACCATTGGTTTTGACCCACAGCCAATTGAACGTCCTGTGAACAAGCTCATCTTCACACCTGATCAGCAAGCTGACCATGCAAGCCGTCTTCAGCCTGCTCCTTTGCTAGCGCGCAAATGAAGAGCAATAGCTCCGCAAATATGTCAATAGACACGCGATAAGTCCCTGCAATCCTCAAAAGCCAAAGAAACCTCCGTAAGAACTTCACCATAAGACATGACAGGGAATCCAACATGAAAGGCTACATATGGTTTAGCCAGCACCGGTGCCGAGTGACCAACAAGGCCAAATGGGAATCCAAACGCAGGGCACATGTTGCAAGGCTTGGATTGGTCTGGTTGCTCTCGTGTCTATTCACCGTCCCCTGCGTTCCCTGCTTCTCCCTGCGTGGTTTTCGAACCAAACGGGTCATTTCAGAGCAAGCCATCCAGCTAGAAGCCAAAGATAGAAGAAGTCAAACCAAGGTTTCCCGAAAAAGGAGAACCCCCCGCACAATTCTGTGGTTTCCCTTTTAAGGTCATCCCAAAAAAGGGGCCCTGGATCTTTGCACACATCCACGGGTAAACTAATGCTGAGGTGAGCCTTTGGTTCTCTAAGCTCGCCAGGGCTCGTCCCGCAAGGTCGCTTGCTCATGTTCTTGGAGTGCGACGAGGGCTCCCTGAAATTCAGCTGGAACCCGAAAAGCCATGGTTTCATCCACCTCTGGGTCCTTGTGGACGGTGCCTCCCCCGGTGCGCCGCCTGGTGAGGTCCAAGACTCAGAGGTGAAGAACCACTCTTGGCCTTCCGGGCCGACGAGGTACACCATGTCCATGGCCAGGAAGTTCACCTGGCCGCAGGTCGGTTTGAAGAGGGACAGTGTCCCACCGCGGATAGACCTGAGGGGGCTTCTAACACACAAACGCCACCTGGTTGGTCGGTGCAACCCTCGCAAGATTCGGGCGGGTACCCCTTGTTTGGTGGTTTTGAAGGAGAACCAAAAGGAAAAACACCGATTTGGGAGGTCTCCTCAAAAAGTGACACACCCATTCAAACACACATCTAAAGCAAATTTCTAACAACTCCCTGAAGAAAGCGCAAGTTGGAAAGAAACAGCTCACAGCTGGTCGTGTCAAAGCCAGGACCCTGCTTGGTCCGTTCAATCTGATCACACCATGGCACATGGGGAGTACGATTTTCTCGGGACATCCCAGGCTTCCCATTTCAATGGAGTCAGGTCTGGAGACGCGAGGCTGCCAGCCAGCAAGCAGCTCCCATTCTTGCCCCTTTGTGACGAAATCAAAGAAAAAGCTTTCGAAAATCAAACTTGAACAGCAAAAAGACGCTTGACTTAAGTTTTATGCTTGTCCCTCTCTGTGGTGTTTGTAGCTTCATTGCACTTGAAGCAAGCTCCGAGCCGCTCAGAGTAAGCAGCCAAATCTTGTAGGCCCACAACCTATCGGCGAGAACCTGAATCATGTTCAAAAACATGTCATTGAGTCAGATCTGCCTTTGACATGGGCTGCTGGCCGCATAGAGTCAAAAGTAGCGGTGGATAGATCTAAAGATGGCCACGACGTCAATGCAAATGCAAGGTTTATAGGATTACACCAACACTTTTTTCGACCCCGGTTGCCTTCTTTTCACAACGTATAACGCTATTGTGCAGTGCTTGGGAGCACCCAATCATGACTGTCATGGAAGCTTCAGGCATGACTCAAGATTCCAAGTGCAAGGATATGGGAATGTGCCAAAACCAAACTGCCTCCATAGAAGATCGTAGAAGCAAAGTCAAAAGAAGTCAGCCATTTGTGAGAGCCCAGCCATATTTCATTGCCGTGGATCGCTTGCTTATCCACTACCCAAGTGCACACGCGCGCTGGCACCTTGAAGATTCCACCCATCTTCTTGTAGCCCAGCCTGGCGCACCAACTTGGTTATTCTCCAGAGCTTCAACAAATCCAACACTCAAACCCTCCATGTCCCTCCCTGCGGCAAGTGCCTCTGGCGGAAGTGGGGGCATCAAATGCAGGCCGGTCCCCAGAAGCTATCAATGCCCCTCAGGGCAAGGGGGGGTTCTAGCACCTGCTTGTTTTGGCAAGAGCCAACATGATCTTAGAACATGTTGTTGTGTTGTCACATTCGGGTGTGTTTCAAAATAATGAACCACCCAACACGGTGGTTTCCAGGCGAGTACGTGCCGCGGTTTGCCCTGAGTGGCCCACCTCGAGAATGCTACTGGCTGTCAAATCAAAAGTAGTCTGACTTGGTTTCATGGTGCCCTTTTGTAAATGCACTACTTCTGTCTAAGTTCCTGGACTGTATATCTACTTTTTGGGAAGACCATTTTAGTGACAAGCAAAACGTTCAGACTCGTCTTGGTAAATCCACTCAGGAAGCCGTTATGGCCTCTTCATAGCTTCATGAAATGCATTGACCCGTGCATGTCTGGAAGCCATTGCAAGGGAGCAAGTTGGCAGAATCCGAGCGCAAGGTGACCCAAAGCAACGACGAATAACTCACAAACCGAGCCCACCGCCAAACGAAGGAGCTGCTTGCAACAGGAACGCGATGTTCTACCATCATGAGCTTGCTGTCAAGCCATCTGAGCAGGCGAAAATATGATTCAACCCATCAGGATGAACCTCTCAATCTAGCCGCCCTACATCGCCTTTCAGTCTGCATGGCATCTGTGCTTTTTCTTGCTTCGGTGAATTGTGCACATATTCTGTTTACCCGCCCCCCCCCAACTTTGAGAAAAGTCCGTTGGACTACTATCGTCTTAGATTTCACCCCCCAAGCGGAGTTCCCCCACTGGATCTTTTGGGCACCGGCCTTGGGCAATGTTTAGTGGGATCAGTGTGCTCTCCCTCCCACAAACTTGACAGGTCCTTTGAGGAGATTGATGTGGCACCCTCTCAAAAATGCCAGGGTAAAACATCTACCAGGTGGTTGACCCAGTCCCCCTGACTGTGCCAGAAGAAAAATGTCGACTCCGTATCGAGCGCAGAATATGCGCGGCCAGTCCTCATGAGCTCCATGGGGTCCTTCAAGAACTGGATGATGGGACCTGCGGAATGGGTGTTCTTGGTGGGGAAGGGGCGGCCGGTTTGGCAGTTGTGCAACGAAGCCACGGGGGTTTCCCACCGTCCTTTTTGTTGGTGGCTTTGAAGGAAAAAGGGAAAGCGCCAAACAACACTTTTTGGGGCACTCCATGTGTAAAAGAAGGCAGGGCAGCGACTCCGGTGCGACTGAAGGGCCGTACGGCTCAAACTCTACTCCACACGGCAGCTCGTCTTCTGATCCTTTTCTCCGGTCATTTTCTGATCATCTTCTGCTTGCCTTTGAGTGCTCGTCTTCTGGCCATGGTCTGGTCATCTTGCCAACAAGGGAAGATGTTGAGGATCGCCCAGCCACTTCCGCCCACGCAAACACAAGCTGCATTTTGTTGCAGCCGCCCAGTTGGGAAACACTATTCTTCTGACGAGTGTACGGTTCGCATCGCACTCTGACAATGACAAGGGCCATGATGGCATCCGCATCTCCACTTCTATGTTGACATGGTTCGGAGTGCTAGCCCTTCACAAGAGGGAACCAGCCGAAAAAAATGAGGCAACCAATCCAAAGGCTTGTTGTAACCCCCACTTGAGCACTTGCCAAAGTTCAACTAGGGAATGATGAGACCCTCTCACGTCAGCTGGCGACTTGGGTTGGCTTGGCATGTTGCCCCCTTTCGACCAAAGCAAATCTGCTCAACCCCTAAAGGACAAGTCGAAGCAACAAGCATTCATTGAAAGCTCACAAAGCTTGGTTATCCATGATTGGTTGGATATTGCTTCTTTCATTTACTTGTCTTTGAACAATAGCATCGACACGATTTGGCCGGCAATACCGGATTCGCATTCTGCAGGGGCCCCTGCCAATCACCGGCAGCCCCATCTGGAAGCTGGGTGGTTCTTTCCTGCATACAGAAAATGTGCGGGCTTGAGACAGTTAACTTTTGCCTGACACAACATGGAAGACTTCCTTCAGATTTGTTTTGGGAAGAAGTTTAGGAATCTTCCCATGATAGTTGATTGGAAGGGGAATGGAATGCATGACGAGATACTTAAACGCAGTTGCCGTCCATACGCAAGTCTTTGAGCATCCGACGTAAATCACAAGTATGCAGGTTGGCGGAAACACGAGTATGAATATGGGGATGTGCCAAATTGGATAGAGTCAGAGTTGCAGCTGCCAGCAAGCAGCAACATATGCAAACATCCGTTCAGCAAAGTGATCGTGCAATCAAACAGAGTGTCACATCATTTATTGTCCACCCAAAGGCAGACGACGCAAATCCTGATTCCTTGCAGTGTATATATATATATATATATATTCATGTAGATGTGTGTGTGTGGTTCAGATACAAGTAGCTGTAAACTGATGCCAGGTGTGACCCTGTCAGACGTGATGCTTGAGGACGGCGATAAGTGAGTGGACAGGCAGAACAAGATACTAAGGCTGTATGGCAAATCCACCAATACATGGCAGGCGCAATGGCAAGCGACTCAGCCAACTCTGGCACGCTGAGACACTGGCATTCTAACTGGGTGCTGACAGGAGCAGTGCTAAGAGTTTCCAGACACAAATGTTGTTCACGAAACTAAAGTAATCTCAATCCCAAAGCAAGACTAAGACGAAACCAATTGCAGTACGTTGCCATGTTGCCAGTGAAAAAGGTGAACGCCAGGACTTCACCTATGATCGGAAGGGTCTCAAAAAGGAACAGCGATTAGATGGACAGGAAGCCGAGTGCCCCATGTGGCTTGCCCCCTCCAGCGGCCAGGGTAGAAAAGCTGGCCTTTTGTTAGTCACTTATTGAAGTCAAAGAATCGTACCTCCCCCCTCCTGGTCCGACCATCCAAACCATTCGGCCCAAAATACTCCTACGGCCTTGTCAGGATCTTATTTGGGGAAAATCAAGCGGGGCTAGTTGGAGAAATGTCGGGATCATATGATACAAGGATCCTCAATAAGGGAAAGAGGTAGCCCGGCTTCAGGCTACTACTGCGCGCTTCTCATCCAATCCGAGCCGCAACCTGTCGTGTATCAGAAACGACCGCAGTGAATACACATCATATCCGCGTTTTTGGGCGCCTTCGGGGGAATGGTTCGGAAGAACTCTTGAAATTCACTGCATCCCACAAAGGTGCAGAATGCCCCACTCGCCAGGTGGAACTCCTGACTGAGGAAGATCAATCAAGCCAGAGAGTGCCATGAGGCGCAGCAACCTCGTGTATTACATTAATGCGTTGGTAATGATTCTGGGCAAAGCGTCGCGATATGGAACACCTCCCAGGCCCCAGTCTCTCTGCAAACTGTTACTAGAGGAGAAACCAAAGGCCGCACCCTTACCTGCCCAAAAAGGTTCTAAAACCAAGGAACCACAAGGAACCCTCGATAAGCCAATCAACGTCTTCAGGCCGCAGATTCCATAGGACAGGGCTATCTCAGTTTTTGCCGACCAAGAATGACATTTCAAATCGTGGCCAAGATTTGGCGGACCTTACAATGAAACGTGATGTCATTTGAAGGGTTCCTGAAGGAACCCCGATGTTTTTGTTTCCACAAAAATACCCTCAACTTCACATGCGCGTCCTTGTGTCTGGGCAAACACAAACACCTAGAAGGGTTCGGAGTTCACTGCCCAGGGTAAAAGCTTTGCCCTCACGATGCGTTAATCATCCTCGCCGCCTTTTCTGAGTTTGGCATACCAAGCTTGGGCTGTTTTTTCCCCAACAGCTGAAAGCTTTGGGGTCTCAGCCCAGATAGGCTCCGGGGTGGTCCGGGACG